ATATAACGGAATGAGTATATCTCGCAGCATTCATGAGCGCACAGGAAGTTGTTGTGGAATCTTTATTGTGCCTAACGATTCCACGCCATTGCCTTCTTCTGGACAGCAATGATTCGAATCGGATATTGTCTTCGGTACTTATTTTTTCCCATATGAGCCTTTGCATTCGTAGCATCAAGGCGAATGGAGAAGGAGGAATATAATTATGAAGAGAAGGGAATATAATTATTTCAATCAATCTGGTGAAATGAATCACCAGCAGAAATAATGAAGCTGAAAAAAGTACTGCCAAGATTCATTCTTTGGTTAACCAGTCCAGCGCGAATCTATCTGGAATATCGAAAATCGTGCACTCACTAAGAAAACACTTTTCGCATGTGGAAGGAAATTTATCACTTCTGTAATCTTATCAGTTTAGCCATCCATATTTGCCAACAGTCAGGGACATACGCGATTAAAGGCGTATCACTACCGTTCAGTCCTAAATAAGAATAGCTTATCAGATTGAAACAGTTCGTTTGTGTACACCAAAAGCGAATCTGTAAATTTGACACCGGATTCCAGAATCAACAACGTCGAAGATAATAATGATTGCTACCACTTGTATCACCTATCTCTTCACTTAACTGATCATCGGAGGAGGCCGGGGCGGGTATCAGGTCATTGTCTTTAGAACATAAAGGATGAAAGGATAAAGCGCTCGGCGCTGATCTATTCCTAAGGAATGCCCCATGCATTCGACTTCATTAAGCATTGTTTGGAGGTGATTGAATGCATATTTGGCCTTTATATTAACTCGCGGTGCTCTGGTGATGTCTAGAGGCCGTCCTGCTACCGTCCCAGACAACTCTGGTACCAATTTGCAGACCCCGGAAGGATAGAAGGCTTAGTGGGCCATGGGCACAGGGATCGATTCCACGTGTGCGTTGCATGGCGCTTCTGACCACTGCGCCACACGCGCCTTGCAGCACTTCAGACAATAAGAGCGATAATTTTCTACATGGTTCAGCCACCCCGAGGTTGGTATAGACAAATTCGCGTTAGCTTAATTACGTAGAGTGTTATTGATTAATGTCACCGAGGTTTAATGAATGTCGCTTTTTAAGACCACGAGTACAATTCGTCGCTGTATTGTCACAGCTATTCAATGAGTTCTGCTCACTCCAGGGACATGAAAAATATATTTTCCTTCCATTTAAGGATTTCACAGAAGAAAATCTAACTGTCGGTCTCTGGTCTCTCCACTGCGTGTGTGATATACCGAGGTGAACACGATAGCTGACAGTCCATGCTCAATGGACTGTCGCTCAAACGTCTATGGTCCAACTGACTTTCGAAATTTTCCAACAGGTGTTTGGGTATCGACATTCCTTCAGAACTCTCGAACTCTCTTCCTGGTCTCACAACCGTAAATCAAATACTACCAGCTTCGCTCTTGAGATAGAGCTATATAATTTTTTCTACTAGATTCTGCATACGCGAGGGACATATTTCTGACGTGATATCGCAATGTATAATTTTTGCCGGACCAATGCTAGACAATCGTTTTTGCTTCTAGAATATTAATTAGTTATATATTCTTATAAACTGATTTTCTCCATCAGACCGCACAGTTGTCATAGGTTTCGTTGTTGTTGTTCTTCTCCTTGTTGCTGGTCTATGGTTGCGACTTCGCCTTCCTTAGAGCCAAACTGTTACGAGTCGTCCAAAGGGGGTTACTTACGCCGAGGTTCACAGAAAGTTTGCCTTTTGAGTCATATTAATTGTTATATATGTTAAATGGGCTCCAGAAGACAGTGCTATAGTAAAAAAAAGGCTCTCGGCGATGTTCGATCTCTGTGTTATGCCCCATTCATCCGACTTCTTCAAGGGTTGTAAGGGGTGATTGAGTGCATATCTATCCTATACAATGACTAGTGGTGACCTACCGAGTTGTGTCGACTCAGCGTTGCTATCTTCCCATACTGGTCTGGTACCAATTTCTCGACTCCGCGTGGACGGAGGGCTTGGTGGGTCTGGGCGCGATGATCGATCCCATATGTATTGCAGGACGCGTCTAACCACTGTGATACACGCGTCCACTAGTGCTGTAGTAATGTGCCTAAATTTTTAATCGAGAAGATCAAGGACCAAAATTTACCGAAGGTATGAGGGAAGGCCAGAGATAGGGAAGCAGTAAGTGTGATGAGGAAATTCTATCGCAAATCGAAGCTTCTAGAGAATGACCACGGAATTTCACTTAAGTGACCAATCCATTGATTCTAATGTATGCACTTTCCGCTTGTTCGCTCTGCTGCAAAGAGGATGTTATCAGCGCTTTTGTGGCCAGTCGAAAGCTTATCCAACACAGTCTAAATATAATAATTTATAAAAGAAAAACATCGGACAAGTTTCTTGAACGCACACTCCCATCGCGCGACGAAGGATTGGACATAGCCTGAAGCGGCTGCCACCCGAAACCAGGCGAATCCCATGTGTGTTATAAACGGTATCCGTTGAACAATTTGGCATTGAAAGTGTTTAAAGATTAGGTCAAAACCATCCTAAAACTCTTGGTTAGCTTTTATCGACGACGTAAGCACTTCCAGTGACTCTATTTTCACTATTACGATTACTGTAACTTTCTACCATAAACCACTTATTCAGGGTTCTTCAACAATCACTTCGACAGATTTTTTCAATAAATTCATTTTTCGTTAGTTCTCCATGAAACGACGTCAATGACTTGCTTTTTGTCTTCTGTGAGACAAAACTAAATTGGCCAGTGCAGTAATAATTTCTTTCTTTCTCTTCCAAAATTGCACTACTGAAGGTAAGTGACAGTGTAAACTTTTTATTTACTCAAAAGACTGACTTTCTATAAACCTCAGCATTAATAGTTGATATATTTATTTGCACTATCTTATAAACTGATCTTCTTAAACTGATGCGAGGTTGGTATAGGTCTTCGTTGTCGTTGTTGTTTTCGTTGCTGTTGGCGTTGTTGGTCGATGGCTGGCTGACGTTTCGGCGAATTCGCCTTCCTCAGAGCCGTGCTGTTACGAGTGGGACTCTTGCTCACCAGATTAAAACGATCAGTTTTTATTTACTGCCTACTGCAATTTTTCACGGCAGGGTACTACGTATGATACAACCACAACGGTGCTGAGATATTTGTAAAACTCTGGACCACAGATGTCTACAATGAGGATCGAACATTCTGTTACCCTTCCCGTGGCCTAACGCGTTCACCACCACACTATGCGTGTCCTTCGTTTCGCCTTTTAGCTTATGGCACTAACAGATAGGAAACTAGCTGAGAGAAAGGAGTAACCAAAGATCCGCATGGTGTAGCGTTGAACACGTTACCACCGGAAACGGTAATAGCGTGTTCGATCCCTACCCCGGACGTATGTGGTCCGTAATTTTGCAAATATCTCAGCACCATTGTGGCTGTATGTGATAGTAATCTTAGAGTTTTTTTTATATGACCTGTCTTCACGTCTGCTGTACGGATCCCAGCACTTCTCGCATTCGATTCGTTTCCTCGCATCCATTGTCCAAGAAGACCCTCCAACTTTTACGTGTGGCTTCGCTTGCTGCTTGAGGATTTTCATTTCATCTTGAATGTCGTAGAATGCCGATCTGGCAATTCTTCTTTGAGTTCTGAAATAGCCGAGCTGGAGCGTTCTCAACTGGATTGCAGAGAGTGATTTTTCCCCCAACTCCGGTACCAATTTCCCGACCTCGGAGGGGTTGCCCAGGAGCGGAATCGAATTAGCACCATGGTTGTGATGGCGAGCATCACTACCACTGGGCCATCTGCCCCCTATCTTAGAAAGTAAGGTGATAAAAGCGTTAACCTCACAAAGTCTAACAATCTACGTTGAATAGATATACTCTATCAGCAACATAAAATGAAGCTGATACGAGGTGATTCGGAACGGGCTGGTTTGGTAAGACCTAAGTAGATAAATGTTGTGTGAATTTTACAGATTTGAACGAGAAGTCTACTATTTATCTACCCGATAAGGCTGTTTAGGCAATTCACCCAAAATGGAACAGGAAAGGAATGACAAATGAAAACAATGGCCTGCAGGGTTTAGTACAAATATGTCGACGAAAACTACCTGCTATGAATAAAGATACTTATTTTAAATAAAACTGAGGAACAGCGTAGTTCCAATCAGTGCTATACATCCATGTGGGCCTGTAGCGTAGTGGTTGGAGGTGACCTGCATTCATACATGGGTCTGTGGTTCAATCTCATTTTCTGCGTTCGCCAGTCCTTCCATCTCTTCATGGTTGGCAAAATGGTATTAGATTTGTCTCTGGCAATGCTGTCTTGTTACATCAGTAGGCCGCCGAAAGTTACCGTATAGGCCAAATATGCATTCAGTCACCTCTATCAAAACTTAATGGGGCCGAATGCATGTTACATAACCCAGAGGCTGATCAACGCCCAGCTTTTTTCCTTTTTCAAACCTACAAATGTTATTGACATTCACCGCAAAAGGCTACCGTGCCGAATACGGTATTCAAGGGATTTGTCCGCAATTCACTCCGCGCACAGTATTCTCCGCTCTGATGAGTCCTATTTCAAATCTCAACACCTTGGCATTTGTCTCAATATCGATCTTCTACGAAGTTAGTGTCAGGGCTTCAAACTTTTGAGTATCTGTGTTTGACCGCTTGGGAGAGGTTCCTATGTTTATTCCTGCTAGAAATCATCTAGGATTTAATGTTGCTTGCGTTCCTGTCCCCAGGTGTTGTAATCGCTAGAAAGACGTGAAATGAAATCTATAGTTGAAACAAATGCTTATGAAGTATTAATTTGGAATGTTTCGATGGTAAGGAATATGGCTTAGAAGCTTTTGAAATCAGGGAGACGTCTGGCCTGCTTTAAAGATATATTAATGATCAATGTGTTACGTTTAGTTTTGTTTTTGTAAAGGTGTTGTGCTTCATAGAAAATGCACTAATATTTTAGCTTATCCCATTAGCCGTCCAAGTTGTGTAAAATGGACAGTTTTGGAGTTATGAGGTTAGTGTCTGCAGATGGGCTAAGCCACCATAGCTTTCTGAGTGATGGCTGAAAAGTGGGCGTGTTGTACGCAGTAGTCCTTTGGTAGCGTTTTCTAGGGTAACCACAGGGGAAAAGTATTGCCGCTTATCATCCTGGATCTCGTCAAGGATTCCAGAGTGCTTGGCCAATATTGGCTGTGGAGAATATCAGGACCTCGTGACGGTAGTGCTGGACCCCATATGACACAACCAAGAGTGCAGGCGTTGAACGCGTTCGACTACAAAACCCCGCTTCATCAAGCGTACAGGACTCCTTAAGCGACCGACCAAACGCCTCTTTTTCAGGCATCTTTTCAAACTGCTATCCTTGAAAACATTGCCGTCGTCGCTTCTAGAAGATCAAGATTCAACGCTGCTGGTATAGTAACCATCCCTTGCCTATTATTTTAGTTCATAACGTTTTTATGTTGAATCAAGTGCTATCTCTTCGGGATTGTTTAGAATCGAATATTATTTGTGACGCGACTTAATAGAAAGTTGTGAGATTCGTTTTAGTTTTCAACTTCGTTCACTTTTCCTTCTTAAGTTTTGTAATGGCCTTAGACCCCTCTGGCCTGTGTTTTCGTCATATTCTTTAGTTGATTAGCTGGATACATAGAGTACTGGAAATCGTTTGACTTCTTTTAGCTCATCAGATGCTGGTAATCTGGCTCTGATAGTCTGGATACTTGCTGAGATTTCCGTTTCTTTTCTTGTTGGCAGGACTCTGCTAATGGTTCTGCCATGTTTTCCTTGTTTGTTCTTTTTCGACTGTTACCTTTGCAGGTTTCTCGATGGAAATGGAAGCCCGTGATCGGGCGACCCTTCTTCGGCGAACGATATCGAATCGTTCATTTTCATCTCTGCCCATATCCTATACCTCATCATCTTCGGTGCTTAAATCCGAAACAATCACTAGCCCGTACCCTCTAAAGGTCCGTGAAACGTTTTACACTTTTCTTTTTATCAAAAGAACTTCGTTTCCTTGTACTGACATTTACTCGTGCATCTGTTCTCTCTAACTAAAATCGAGGATAACTTCTCAGGGGCGCGATGTGGTTCTGGATTTGGAGAGTCGAAGGCAATACGAGGAACTTCGGAGAGATATTCGAAAGCTCGGCGGGAGAATCGTTGATACTGTTGACGAGAACAAATTGCCGTTTGTTGTCATATCAGATCATATGAGTGCGTCTCGACTAGAAACGATGAAAGGGATATATAGTGATAAGATGGTGAGTACGTTTTGATATCTCAACAAGCCAACTAAACTTACTTGGACACTTCACTACTCCTCACTAGTTTTGCGGTGCCCAGCAAAATCTCCATTTTACGGAGTTTTGATGATTTAGCTATTGTGTTTCCTTGGAGTCCCGAGGTCAGGCTAGCCCCATTCTTCCCCAGGTCGTCACCACTACAGGCTGTCGCAGTCCTTGTGGAACAGAGCAAGATTTGCCACCATGCCTTTGATACCAGGAAGGTTGTCGATCCTGGTATTGGTTTACTCTTAGCTAGGCTTCCTGGTAGAAAAGCCGGACTCCTCGGTTTCCCGCGGTACATCGCAGCTCGGCACCCACCTTCCAGCCACGATGAGGCGGTGAACCGTTGGGAGGACCGACTATACCCTGACTTAAAGCTACTATTTCTTTTTCTTTGTTTCTTATTGTGCTCTGCAAAGCCCAATAGAGTAATATGAGAATGACACCACTTGCTATGTGGAGTCATTTCTGAGAAGAGGAATTTTGTGTATCATGTTGGCTTCAGATGTCATTGTTTAGATGTCCAGTCTTCATTTCAGACATTGAAGGACTTACCACTGCTTTTGAAAGAAGCCGTTCGCAATAACGTTAAAATACGGTCGTATAATACGTTTCAACAGCAGTTTGCTCGATTTAAGTCACGAATTCGTTCAGCAAAATCGTTGGCTAACGCACCTCAGAAAAGATCATCGAAGTTGGACGACTGTGTAGTACGTTCTATTAAGTATATTTATTTAGTATTTATTTACATGCTCTTATAAACTGATCTTGTTGAGCTGATGCGAGGTTGGTATAGGTGTCGTTGTTGTTGTTCTCGTTGTTGCTGTTACTGTTGTTTGATGGCTGCCATTTCGGCGATTTCGCCTTCCTCAGAGCAGCGTTGTTACGAGTGGGGTAGCCTCTGAAGTGTAATGAGCAAGAGCAGTCCCACTCCTAACAGCACGGCTCTGAGGAAACGGTATCGTCGGAACGTCAGCCATCGACCAACAGGAACAACAACAGAAACGGCCACAACAACAACGACGACTTATACCAACCTCAAATCAGCTCAACAGGATCAGTTCACAGGAACATATAAATGAATACACCGATTTGTTTATGTTGTTGAGTTTACACGAGGTTGATACGAAATGTTTATTCGGCTAACGTTTCGACGTCTTCGTCTTCATCAGAGCCGACAATCTTTGTCGATGGTCCACAGTTGTTCCTCTTCTCGATGTGGCCTTTAAATCTCGCATCTCGAATGAACCAAACACGCCTGCGACGCTCTTTTATACAGGGCGGTTGTTGTTGATATGATTATCTGTTGATGATAATTTGTTCGCCAACTGATAATCCACCCTGGAGCAGTCGGTATTTTGTTAGCTAGCAGATGCCGAAAAAATACGCCAATTATTTATGCCGAGATTTATAGAAAGTCAGTCTTTTGAATTATTTAGTATTTTTGGGTCTTCTAAGATTCGCTGCCGTACTTCTTATATTATGTGTTTCGAAAATCAATGTCGGATATCAACATGTAATTCAAGAGCGGAATGTCGGACCTGAGAACAAACTTTTTAAATCGAAATAGAAACCATTGGGACCTACTTATCTTTACCGAGTAGAAAATTGTTTATTTATTCTGATGTTATAGATTTCTGAACTTTTAGAGGACGATGATGTCATTGAACGTAGTTTTGGCCTCGGCTTGGTTTCTAAATAATTTCCGACAAAGGAAGTTATCGAGATGCTTAAAGGAGTAGCACTCGATTGGCGAGATGTCTAGCGTGTATGGTGGATGAGGCAGAGTTTCGTAACTCAATTCGTTCAACTTTTACATCGTCGATAGTTCGATGTTTGACCGTGTTCTATTGTGGAGAAGAATTCCTTCCTTTCCATTGACCAACGAGAGGTGCAAGCGTTGATATTTCTGGTTCATTTCCTCAATTTGCTTGACATACCTCTCCACCATGGTCGTACCACCCGGATTCAGAGAGCTATAATGAAGCAAACCACCAAACGGTCAACATGAAATTCTTTTGGTGAAGTAAGAAGTGCTGCGGAGCGCCATCGTAGTGCAGTTATTGAGCCGCCTGTCCGCGGTTATCGTAGAGAACATATTTCTCGTCGCACGTCACAATATCGAAAAGAAGTGGGTCGCTTTGGCAACGCAGAAGAAGCGACGACGATACCTCAAAACGACGACTTCTTTGATTGTCGTTCAATTTGTGCCGTATCCATTTATCGAGTTTCTTCGACTATCCGATTTATGTAAATGTTCCAGAGCAGTTGAGGGACTTAATTGAGTTCTTCTTCAAGTTCTGAAACAAGTGTTCCCTGTATTTCCCTTTATCGTCGTCAATAGCTGAAGGATGTCTGCGACTTCATATTGAAAGTAAAATTTGTTACAACGAGGTTTTTGAAACTAACGTGGCACTGTGCGTTTGTTAACACTTCCTTAGGCCCACAGTCATTAATGTTTCGAGATTTTTTCTCTGACGAACGCAAGTAGGATTCATAAGAGAAGCTTTATCGAAATTGCTGTTTTAACATCTGAAATTCTGATTTTTAAAACTTTTCAACGACATAATTCACGTTGTAATTTGATTATACGGAGATATAGTAATACAACTTTCGCAGAGAAAAAGCTGTTTCTAAAAAGTATACCAGAAAAGTGGGATTACGCATCTGACAGTAATTTCCGAAACACCAAACTAATAATTGGTTAGAGAAGGGTGGTTAACGCTGTACTTCTTAGAACGACTTTTATTCATCAAGGAGATATTGGATGGCTTTTCTATGCATTTTCGTTTTCATTTTTTTTCAGAAGGATAGGAAGGTTCGATTGTTAAGAAGACCATTCATCAAGTGGCAGGATAGTCGAAGACATTATGCCCCATCGTATAAGGTGATTGCTGACATGTTTTTATATTTTTGTTTTTTCTTCTTTTTTCTCACTCTGGTTCATTTCTTTTCTTTATTTCTTCTCTTAAATTTATTACCTGTAAGGAATGCTCAACTCCTCGGTGGACTACCGTTTACTGCGGTCCTACTGCAGGGAATTGTGTTTTTCGACGTATTACTGCAGAACAATTAGAGAGGAGGTTTACTGCTTGAAACTTCTTAAGTAATCCTTCTGTTCTTGTTTTCAGTAAGTACATCGTTTTAGGAAAAGAGAAGGTCAACTCTTATCGCCCGAAGATTCTGATCCGCATAGTTCACCTGGCAGGGAGAAAAGTGTGAAGTCTGGAAAATCCGTGAAGGTGTGGAATACTTATCACTATTTTCAGAAACTTGTAGGAGAACCGTGCGACCGTGCTCTAAAAGTTGACACTTTACTTTTTTCCATGTGGACATAATTAGTGTTTTAATGGTTAATGACCTACTACTGTTGCTTTTGTTAAAATAAAGTTGGACACTTCAGGTCAATCGTACTGTGAAAACACCCAGGAACAAGTTTTGTGATCTCTGTGGTAAGGCTTTCGATGATATGGATCAGGTACGTAATAGATGTACTTACTTGGATACTTGGTTGGTTGTGCGGGCCCCAGCATAATCCCCATTTATCGGAGATTTGCTGGTTAAGCCATTGTGGTTCCTTGGAATCCTAAGTCCAGCCTGGCCAAAGTCTACCCCAGGTCTTCACCACCACAGGCAGCCGCGGCCCTTGCGGATCAGAAGGAGATTTGCCACCATGCGACTTTGATACCAGGACGGTGGTGGATCCTGGTGTTGGTATTGGTTTACTCTTAGCTAGGCTTCCTGGTGGAAACGCCGGACGCCTTCTCAGCTTGGGAGACCTTGCCAGATGGATGAATCGCCCTGCAGTATATCGCAGTCCGACACCGAGGAACACCCAACCATGATGAGGCGTTAAACCGTTAGTGGGAATAGTGGTAGATTCATGGAAAGTTTGTTTGAAATGTGAATTATGAACGTTGTAGCATTACGAATCCAAGGAGCATTCGATGACAGCAACCCGACCTGGTGTGTATGATGAAGTAGACATGTATATAGGTGCAGTCGTAGACTATGTAATTGTGAGTGTTTAACTCTTTAACACCTTTTTTTCGACTATATAGACCAGTTATGCTTTACTCTTTTCTACGGACCTTTTGCTATTCAGTGTCCTGCTGCTCCATTATCAATTCGGTTGCCTGATATTACTCCCAAGGAAGAGCCAATTTTTCGGAACGATGGTATTCAGGATTTTGAATACAGTCTAAGGACGGACAAGTGCTCATTACGTTTTTGTAGAACAGCGAAAAATCTGTGATCGTCTATTCTTCTGGCCATGTTTTTCATACCCATCTTCTGCCAAGTTTATTGTGTTGCGGTCGTGGGGTTGTATACATATTAAGGTTTTCTTTCTTCCCATGTATCATATTTGTTATGTTGCGGTTATTGAGATCCTGTGATAAATAGATGACTTATTTGAGTAGTAGTAGAGAACAAATGCAATGGGTTATTTTAAAAAAAACTAGCGCATAACTGCATTTAGCGCAAAAATCTTCATGTTGTATTCAAAAGTGTTTCCATCAATTTCTATACGTTCTGTTGTTTCTCAGTTATCACTGCTTCAGTGTGATCGAACTTCTCTCTTAACATGCGGTCTTTCCTTCACGTTTAACTGGCTCAGTTGTTTTTTTCTCTTTTTTTCTACATGGGAAGTTCAGTTTGTTCTGTGCTTTTTGTGGATTTTCAAGTTTTAGTTCTTTTTTGTGCTTCTATGTGTTATTTCTTCAGCTTCTCTTAATTTTTAAGTTTTTATAGCTGCTTCAATGAGAACATCGGTGGCTTTGAGATTTACGATGTGTTATATCTGTATAACCCAATAGCATCATTACCTCTGCTTACAAAGGATAGCTGCTGTTGTGTAGGATTTCGGTAAATACTCAGGGTTTATTATGTTCAGATTTTTTACATTTCTGAAGCCAAACTGATGTGGTTTTCCGTATCTTAATTCCCTGTTTGAACACTTGATTATTTCATGTTCATCATATTGTATCATATTCTATTCTACATGGAGCTCAATCCTAATTGAGTACGAAAATTGAGGATTGTGATTTCGAGTGGGTCTTCGCTCTTTCAAAGGGCTACAATAAAAGGATTCTGGAACTTTGATCCATTTAGAAATTACGTTCAAAGAAACTTCTTAGCAAAGTTTTCCTTTAGCAGTAAGTTCAGTTGGAGATCTAAAGAAATGATAGGCACTAGCTCAGATTTCGCCTTTCGGTCAATGGCTTAAAACGATCTCAAATAATGATGATATTTTGGTTGCGTTGGTTGAACCTTGCCCCTTTCTCTCTTTTCCGCTAAAAGAAGAATTTTGCGGGGAAGAGGTAATGTTCCAACTGTATGCGAGACTCAATCATATGTACCTTCTTAGATTACTGAGCTGACAGAAAGTTGGTATAAAATAGTTGTGCGGAAAACGTCTCGGCGTTTCATGTTCTCCAGAGCTGGATCGATCCAAAGAGTTGGTGCACGGGTGATCGCCTCGCTGTGTGGTCGTTCGTTGTCTCACCGAGTCGAATCAAGGGACGTGAAGGCTAATCCAATGAAGAATCTGGCACTATACATAGGTGAAAAATAAAACAGGATAAAGCTACTGGCCTTGATCAATCCACGAGGGATGCGCTATGCATTCGCCTTCATTAAGCATCGTTTGGAGGTGATAGAATGCATATCTGGACTCAAGGTATATCTGATAGGTATATATATCTGGCACCTGACTCTATCGATATATCGAGCCAGTGCTGCTATCCTCCTATATAAGTCTGGTATCAATTTGTCGACCTCGCAGGGATGGAAGGCTTGGTGGGCCATGGGCGCGGAGATCGATTCCACGTGTGTGTTGCAGGGTGTCTCCGACCACTGCGCGACAAGGGCCTTGGAATTACACACATGAATATATCACCTGTATCACCTGCAGCCTCGTTGATCGTCGAGTGACTCGAGCGAGCGCCAGTAAATCTTCCATTTTTCCCTGTGGCGTTCAAGAGTAGCCCAGTGGGTCCTACTCGCTTTAGGGACTCGTCGAGCATCATATTTTTCTTCTAGGCCTTCGAGCAGAACTCTGACCATCGAGTCGGTGGTCTTCCTGCAGTACGTTTGACATCCCGAATAATCCAGTCACTAACGACTCTTGCCCATCGGTTGTCGTTCATGCGCATTACGTGTCCGGCTCACATTGTCTTCTACTGTTTGGCGCACAAAACGGTGTCTTTAATTTTTGATCGTTGATGCAGGTCAGAGCTTCGCATCCCATCCCTTACTTGTGTGAAACGGAATACTCCTAGCATCGTCCTTTCGACTGTGCGTTCGATAACGCTGAGTAACCTTTCATCCTGCTTACGCATACGTTAGGGCAAGGAGTATTGTTGAGTCGAATAGGTGGGCACGGAGTCGGGTGTTCTTTGTTCTCTCCACTACATCCTCGATGCTCTTGTAAGCTCCCTAAGCCGCTTGTTTCCTTCTGCTCAACTCTGGAGGTAAGTCATTCAACGTGTTGATTTCCCGACCTACATAGACGTAACTGGAGCACTCAGAGATATTCGTTTCCTTGTGCGTGAATAGGGCATACGAAACTAATTCGTTCCTCATGAACATCATTTTCGTGAGACACGGTCGAAGAGCAGTCTTTCCACAGGCTTTATCAAAGTTGGTAAATACGTTCTGCTTAGCTAATGTTTGGCGTTATAAGGACGATGTCATCAGCAAAGCGAAGATGATGTACCTGCCGAACATCGATTTTCACTCCTATGCTATTCCGTTCCAATGTTCATATGACGTTCCAGAGGGTGGCGGTAAACAATTTTGGCGAGATGGTATCGCCTTGCCTAACCCCTCTTTTGACGTCAATGTTAATATCGTTGTAGAATGGTGATATCTCGGTTGAATGCATGTATATATATGTATATATATATATATATATATATACGTATATATACATATGTACATGCATATATACGTATATATATGCATATATATATATATATATATATATATAAAACATCAATCTGTTACTCTACAATAGAGCACAGTCACCTTCAAAGCTGAGAGTAAGCTACTATGAGTTATAATGAGTGGTCCTAGTCCTGATAGTTTACTCAGAAAAGCTTCCCAATGTGCGTTCCATTATCATCGATAGATTCTTACTTTATTTCCTTCTTTTTCCCTTTCAGATTTTGATTTGGTAAGAAGAATGAAACTTCATCAAATTCCTGTTGACAATCACACCAACTCCAGTGTTGTATCTTAATTCAGGGAATATCTTTCCGGTAGGTTAACCGGCACATCTTCTTGTTTCAATCATAGATTCCATATTCATCCTTCCTAAAACGGCCGCATCAGCGCTTGTACGAGATCAGCAAAATGAGATCACCTTTACACTTCTAGTGACAACACCGATGAAGTTATTTGGGCCATGCTTTGCAGCTCCGATAACAGGCTACAAGCTTCTTGTTGGCACTGATCTCGACCTAGCTGTCAGCTGTTTTCTGGTTAATCAATGGAAGGCTTCTCATGGACTTGACATGCATGAATATGTTTTTGCGTGGTTCCACCAAGTCGGCAGATTGGTACCAGACCTATCTGGGAGGATGGCAGTATTGGCATCGGTAGGCCACCGCAAGTCATTGTAAAGGCCAGATGTGCATTCAATCACCTCCAAACGATGCTTAATGAAGTCGAATGCATGCCGTATCCCTTAGAGATTGATCAACGCCGAGAGCTTTATCCTTTCAACAGAAGCTAGCAGCAAGCAATATTCGTCGACGTTACTAAACAAAAGAGCTTAGCATTTTTGGTATGGTGGACTTTTTCGAACCGTTTCTTTTAGCGAGGTCGTAGCCATAGGCACCCTATGGCCACTACAATCGCATTGATTTATTCCAAGTGACAGGGTCACAGTGAATGGCAATGCTGTTAAATTCAACAGTTGTCCTGTGGAAAGCACAGGATTTACTTCAGAAGGATTAGAACAAAGTGAATTACTACGTCAAGCTGAACCGTTTAAAAAGACATACGATACGGAGAAGCCGAACAGAGAACAGAGATTTGAGTCACAAACGAAGAGATGCTCAGAAAGTTCCTCTACACCAATAAACATATCAACTGGATACGTGCCTTATGCATAGGTTTTTTTAACAAACTAAAATTGTACAACATAGAGATAGAGGATAGAGGTAACTAAGTACGCGCCAGTTTTACAATCCGAATGAAACACAAACAATCTCAGCATATGGATTTCTGTTTGTACTGAACAAAAAAGCATAGGACAATGATATTTCTTGTTCTGTTAAGAACACTGACGTGAATAACTATGTAAGTCATTACTTCTTGTAATTCAGCATGGGATTATTTGGTATTGGAAACAAGAAATCATCCAAATAAGCTAAACACTCGGTAAGGTTATGGTCAAATTCCTATCATACTAGTTATGGAATCTCTTTAGTATCATGTACAAGAGAGCACGAATCACTAACAATGTTTCTAAACTGGTAGGTTACAAATGTGCAGCCTGCAATCATCGCATACTAACCCCTTCACGATGGCTAATGAAGACCTAACTGAGTGTCAGCTTTATATAGATTCCCACATTATTATGCACAATAAGACAGTACATTTTCGTTTCTCTAAGAATTATGCTTTACTATAATTCATGTAAAACTAAGATAAAATAACAAAAATTATGTCTACGTCTCTTATCCCGAAAGTCCAGTTATGGGCTAAGGTTGCTACCAACTACCTATCAGGGATAATTTTAAGACAGAGATTTACTAGCGTGATAAACCGCTAGACGGTTGTCACTATCTGTGGTTGTTATAAAAACTTATATCTCTCCAAATCTCGTATTATGTTCATGCCTTAATTTTGGCATTATACAGCGCTTCCACGGACAAACATCAAGTCATTTCAGTCATGACTCGTGGTAGTGAGTTGATGAAGACTTTCTTCTTCGGGTAGTGCACGGCGTTTCCATCTCGGATTCGCTACTAGGAGCAGCACGAAGAGTGCGTAGCCGAACACGCAAACCCCGACCAGGTTCGCCACTGCCTGCTGCCCGCATAGCTCACGTCCTTTCGTCCAACATCTTAAATCTATGTTGTTGAAATAGAACAATGCTGAAGTACACAGTATACCTATGTGGTAACTTCTTCGATGAACGGTCATAATTTACTAATAATTCCAAATAAAAAGCAGAGAAAACTTATATTTCGTTATTCTCCCAACATCGCTATATGCCAGCTAGTGGTTCCAACAGGTGTGGAATGAAACACTATTAAGAAAATTGATGGGCGAATTTATATCAAGAATACAACCACAATGGTGCTGAGACATCTGCAAAACTCCGGACCGCAGGTGTCTGCGGTGGGGATCGAACGCGCCATTACCCTTTCCGGGGGATTGAAATTTCAATTACAGCCCCAGCTTAACTGGGTTAAATTTTGGGCTCCCTAGATCAATCCCGTTGAGAGTGATTGTTGATGGCATTGATCGATAGGACTAGCTTAGAGATAGGCGAAACGAAGGACCGGCATGGTGCGGTGGTGAACGCGTAAGCCCTGGTAAAGGGTAATAGCGCGTTCGTTCCCCACCGCAGACACCTGCGGTCCGGAGCTTTGCAAATATTTCGGCATCATTGTGGTTGTATTTCGCATTATACTGTGCCGTGAAAAATTACAGTAGGCAGCAAATAGAAGTCAGTTCAGACATATTGTGGCTTCACCTTCTTAAAATATCACTATACAAATACTTTACTCACGTGTGTTTCCAAGCAGCGCGTTCCGAGATTCCCATTCCGACAGTAATCGCTACTGCGATGAAGATCATCATGCCAGCAAGTTGATGGAACGGCATCACCAGCTGACGAATCGGAATCGACAGACCCGGGGCGAAGAACGTCACGAAACCAACAACGTACTGGTAAAAGACACAGTATGGTCTTCATAGGAAATTTATGAGCATCCGATTTTAATGCAAACGTTAAGTTTGTGTCTGTTCATAAGAGAGTTTCCTTCAGAAATTCGTATTCGTAGGCCGAAATTTCAATGTGTGCAACGCAAATCTGACGTTAAAAATAGAGTGGAAAGACAAACCTTTTATAACGCCTAGAAGTTCACAGTTTTACACGTTTCCAATCTCTCCAACTATAGCCTAGTATTACACGGAACGGTTCAGCGCTCAATCTACTAATCCATAGATTGGTAAAGACTACTCTTAGCGCTCGCTGCACCTTTACCTCGAATCCAGCCACCAAGCTTTCGAAGCTCACCATCGCATCTGTGCAACACTCATCCCAAATGTCAGCTCTCAGATTGAAGTAACCAGGTGGGTTTTCAGCTTCAGCAAAGGTAATACAAGCCTCTAAGACCAACCCTGCATCGAGCGCCAAATTGAGCCGAATTTATGAGTGCTCAACCATGCATGGTTGCCATTGATGGTTTGACCATGCTCTAACTGCTGCCAAGTAAAAGAGGTAGAACACGGACTTCATTAACTCGGAAAGGTGTGAAACTTTCGACCGTCGTTACTCTACGCCTTACCAGAAAATTACTACAATGCTCGCGTAGTAAAAAAAACTTTGCTGGTACATCTTGCAGTAACTGCCACGACCGACTTTCTATTAACCTCGGCATTGATCAAGTGATTTTCTTCGTATTTTTGTTGAGCAAACTCGAGGTGTTACTATTCTTTGTTCAGGATTAAGCTGACGTTTCGGCGGATTTCGCCTTCTTCAGAGCCGCTTTCTATGAGGTTTCCACTAAGTATGTCACGTAGAGACCAACCGCACAGAAATCACGTGGAAGTATAATAAGACATTATTAATCGTGAACAAAGAATAGTAACACCTCGAGTTTGCTCAACAAAAATACGAAGAAAAAAAACTTTGGTCATGCAACAGAAACGAGAAGCGATTTAACGCCGTAGGGAAAAGAAATGAATCAAACTCGCCATCATCGCGATTATCGTTATTCATACTAATCCAGCATTAGCCACAATTTCCAGTAGCTGCACCTCGCCCGGGCTCCGTTGTTAAACGTGAAGCCTCATTCTCACTGGGATTTCGTGCACGTACGGTGTGATCATTGTGCGAGCTTCCGCCTCACGGCAGCACTTACATGAGCGAGGTCTATTGTGATCAACTGGATAGAGTTAGAACCCGGTTACACAGTGGAAAACTGATTCTGCAAAGATTTCCACCTCGACAATGACGGGGAGATTCTACTTCATGCTGCGTAAGGTTTCCTCTTCAATTAACTATCTGCCCAGATATTATATGTTACATTGCAGGAAGAAAATTCCCTTTGAAACAAGATACCGAACTGAGGAAAGCATCTTCAAGTCAACGCTCAAAACCTTCTACACTGATGGGACCGAAACATTTTGGGATCAATGGAATAATGTAATCAGTACCAACAGGAACTAACTTGATATCAAACAAATAATAAATAATAGAAAAAGATGAAGCACTTGATATTGATCTGTTCCAGAATGATGCTCCATGAATTCGACTTTATTAAGCATTGTTGGAGGTGAATGAGTGCATATCTGGCAATGACTCGCGGTGGGCTACCGATGTATCGAGCCAGTGCTGCTATCCTCCCATACAAGTCTGGTACCAATTTGCCGACCCTGGAGGGATGGAAGGCTTGGTGGGCCACGGACGCGGGGTTCGATCCCAATTGTGTAATGCAGGGCACCTTCGATCACTGCGCCACTCGCGCCCCTTCAAACAAGTAATAGCTTAATCAAAACCATTCTGCAACAAAACTTGGATACCGCCTGTTACGTTACGTGTTACGCCTGTTAAAAACGACACCATTCGTTGAGAGGTCACCAATTCGCACTTAATTTCAGTGATTTTATTTAAACTCACCTGACTGCAAAATACGATTACCACACTGAGGCCGATCCATGAGTGTAGTGAAATCATGTTTGGTAGCGGATCGAGTTCACCTTAATCGATTAATGACGTAGGAAGTGTCCTTTTACAACGGTTAATGTACCCATGCATAAAAGTGAATTCCTCTTATTTTTCCGTAAGTCGTGTTACCTCATAAGGAATAAAAATATGAAGAAAATCTAATATTAGCACAAACCTTGCTCATCCTTGTGTAGATCGTGGGAATCCCATACTGCTTTAAGTGCAATAATCATAAATACTAACACCATAGAGTGGAGGCAAACGTGGAGGGTTTTACTGAACTTTTTACGTTCATTACGGAAAACGCGATAAACCAACACCGATTCGCCATACAGGAAGACCTTAAATGTAAGAGATCTCGACAGAAGAACCTCTAAAAATAGAGATAATATCTGTACGTAAATATTACACTAGAGATTTACACATAGTGGAGTGAGTGAGTGAAGATTTGAGACGCTATTAAACGTGAACACGATGAAATACGTCCATCAAAATTGCAATATATGTGGCTCTCAACAAATGAATAAACCAACCATTCCCATCACCATGAACGTTGGATGGTAATGAAATTCACGTTCAGGATCTTCGGTCCACGAAAAACCATCTCCATAACCACCCATCCAGATCGCTACTAGTAAAATCGCCAGGCCTCCTGAGAGCTTTAACTGCCTTACATACTTCTTGTATTAACATACATTTATGCAAAAAAAAAACCAAAAAGGCCATGGTTAGATTCCATCCCGGCAAATCAAGCGCTCCATGACTCGCTCGTCGGAAAATTGGTACCACATTTGTCTACGATCAACCGGCTCCCTTCATTCAATAGAAGCTGTCGCATGCCTATTACGAAGATCTGGGAACACCTTAAGTCGGTTAGACATGCATTCCAGAGACGATCGACTCGACCAACACCCAACCATTCACAAATACCAAAAATGTTTAAGCAGCACCCCAACACACGCAAAATTCGAAGATGTTCGTGGAATTTGGATGTGAAGAAACAGAATGCAACAAGTGCTGGGACTCGCACAGTATGCGACTTCGAGTCATATCAGATAAAACAGAAAAATAAATACGTTATACAATTTCATAGGAATTGTCGAAGCCATCTAAATAAGTAATATGGATCTAAAGCTTGCATAACAACCGCTTCTACTGATTCGACTGATATCCAAGCAGGATTTAATGGGAGTAGATGTTCAGTTAGGAATCAATACGAGTTAGTAGAGTTATTAGAAGAAATGCGCTACCAAAACAGGTAATGGTGATAACCACGACGTAGTAAAATACTTGGGTACTTGGATGGTCCGCTCTCACTGGTTGCGTGGGCCCCAGCAACATTTCCATTATTCGGAGTTTTGCTGGTTTAGCCATTGTAGTTCCCTGTAGTCCCAAGGTCAGCCTGAACAAAGTCTGTCCTAAGTCTTCGCAACCACAGGCAGCCTTTGTGAATTACATGGAGATTTTCCACCGTGCAACTAGTTTGGTACCAAGACGGTGACGGATCCTGATATTGGTTTACTCTCAACTTGGGAGACCCTGCCATGGGGATAAATGCCCTCGCTCTACATTGCAACCCGGCACCCAGAAACAACTCCCAGCCACAATGAGGCGGCAAACCGTTGGGAGGATGTAGTAAAATAATATTATATTATATATAAACAAAGTTGTACCAAAAATTATAAGTCCTAAAGTGTTCGGCGTTCAGTTCCTTAGGGATACGCCATGTACTTGACTCTACTACGCATCACAGAGGTGATTGAATGCATGTTTAACACATAGAGTAACTTACCGGAACCTACAGATGCATCCATTCAATCCTTTAACACTTTCGCGACTTATAACACCTATTGTTGTCACAATGGCTTTGCGGAAGTGGCAGGTATAACATCTATAGGCCCTATTTCCTTCTAGTGGTTTATTTTAACATGAAGAAGTATTTTACTATACTTTTCGCTTCCAATGACCTGACACAGGCACAGTTATCGCCCATGTATTACTCTGTGCGGCTGCTATCCATCAACTAACTTAAACACTGACAACAAATAAACGGCTCTGAAGAAGGCGAAACCGCCGAAACGTCAGCTATTCTGATAAATTCTATAATAACAACCTCGTGTCTGCTTATTTAAGAAAAATATCGAGTTATCTTCTGACTGCCCTAGTATAAAAAAATACTGAAACAAAGACCCATAAGATCCAAAACACTTCCAAGAGCTGATAGTATTATGTTTGTACGATAGACCACAGTAACATAAAGTAAATAACACCATACCTCCCAACGGTTTACCGCCTCATTGTGGCTGGGAGGTGTTCCTGGGTGCCGGACTGCGATGTAAGGCGGAGGACTCATCCCCTGGCAGGGTCTCCCAAGCTGAAGAGTCCGGCGTTTCCATCAGGAAGCCCAGCTAATAGTAAGCCAATACCGAGATCCACCACCGTCCTGGTATCAAAGTCGCATAGTAGCAAATTTCACTCTGATCCACAAGAGATGCGACTGCCTGTGGTGGTGAGGACCAGGAGTAGACTTTGGCCAGGCTCACCTCGGGATTCCAGGAACCACAATGGCTTAATCAGCAAAAAACCGAAAAATGAAGATTGTGCTGGGGTCCACATAACCAGTGAGGACGGGCCATTCAAGTATCAAGTATCAAGTAAATAAGACCATAAATATCATTCATACTACTACAAATCTCCCTCATAGAGGAACTTTGCCGGTGAGTCACAAGGCGACATGGCGCATTCCCATGTGGTGCATAGGGGGTTAATCGTTGACCAAAAGCGACCTTCGGCTCTCTGAGAAGCAGACTGATGCAAGATGGACGTATTAATGCATGTGCGATGAATGTGCTTTCGTCTATGCGGATTGTATTGTACGAGTCAATTCGGCCAAAAGATTGCAATCAAGCGACTAGGAAGTTAACGAGAGGCAGTTAGGAGTCGCCTTCAACAAATAAGCTACTCGTCTAGTCTGGAAAAGACTGGCAAGCTACCAGTGAGCCACATTCGCATTTTAGAGGGATATACGTAGATATCAAACGCTAAATACAGTAAAATAAAAGCCCCTCATTACTGACTCCGAAAGAACCCCGATACAGAAGCGTTGGATAGGAAGAGTACGGAAAGACTGCTAAAATTTCAGGACCGCTCTAGGTTACCTAAATGTCGAAGCACTAAGGTGACGATCTGTAACAAGAGTACTCGCTCATCTGCATCTGACTCCTAGATAAAAGATTTAACTACGAAGGCAAAAAGGATAAGGTACGACGCCATTGGACTGGCTGAGATGAGAAGACGCCTTCCATTCAACGACTATGATACCCGAGAAGTTCCCTCGGAACATGCGACGAAAGAAGAGTCGGCAGCGCCGACGTTCTTGTCAACAAGGGTTTAGTTATGAACATCGATTCATTCGAACAACTAATGACCCAAGTCACACGTTTACGGTTGAAGAGATTTGGACCAATACCTACTTTCATAATCTTCATCGTCTACGCACCGACATCAAACTATGACAAGGACAAAGTTGAAGTGTTATATGTGGATATGAAGTTCTTCAAAGAAGACCACACATTCTTCAAGGTTATCACTGGAGATTTTAACGCTAAGATTGGACCCAGAAGAACGCATGAAGAACATTATATTGGGACCATTGGATTAGGAGGGAACGAGCGAGGGGAGCAGCTGTCTCTGTAAGACCAAATTCAAGGAAAGCTTTTAATTTAGTTGAGATAGAAGCAGTCATATAAGCTCTGCACAGCCAGGACGTCGCTGCTCAGTATATAGAGATTCATCGTGAGCTATGCAAAGATTTCACAACCAAAATATCACCATTCTATAACGATATCAACATCGACATCAAACGAGGGGTTAGGCAAGGCCATACCAAAATTATTGACCGTAAGAACGTCGTACGAATGTTAAACTTGGAGGACATAGGAGCGAAAACTGATAGTGGGCCATTACACCATCCACGCTTTGCTGATGACATCGTTCTTATAATATCAAGGAGTACGCAGGTAGATCTAATACTTGTCAACTTCGATAATGCCTGTGAAAAGATTGTTTTTCAACTAAATCTCACAAAAACGATTTCCATGAGGAACGGACTGGATTCGTTTGCCCCATCCATGCTCATCGGAACGACTACCTTCGAATGCTCCGATTACGTCTAGACATATCTAGGTTGGGAAATCAACATGATGAACGACTTACCTTCACAGACGAGCGCGAGGTAGGGAGCTGTTAGGGGAGCTTTCAAATGCATCGAAGATGTAATGAAGTGCACAAAGAACAACTGACTCCGCGCCCATCTGTTCGACTCCACGATTCTTCCTACCCTAACGTATGCGTCAGAAACCTGGTCACTGAGTAAACAGGATGAAAGATCACCCTGTGATATTGAACGTTTAGTCGAAAGGACAATACTAGGAGTATCCTGTATCACGCAGGTGGTAACTGATCCGAAAACTGGAGTAACTCAACGATCAAAATCAAAGATGCCGTTCTGTGCGCCAAACAGTCAAAGATAAGGTGGCCCGAATACGTAATGCGTATGAATGGCAACCGATATACAAGAACTGTTAGTGAGTGGATTCCTCGAGGTGTCAAATGTACTGCAAGAAGACCACGAACCCCATAGTCAGAATTCATCGCGAAAACTCTAGAAGAAAAATATGGTGCCCATTGAGTCCCTAGAGCGAAGAAGACCTATTAGGGCATCTTGCACGCAACAGAGAGAAATGGAAGATTTACTAGCGTCCGTCTAAGTCAATGGGTGATAAAAGCGATGACAGGTAATATAAGTGACACCTACAGAACGAGAGAACAAAGTCTTTGCTACAGTCTATTCAAGCCCACTACCCAAAAGCTCCTTAGTTACCGAAAAATTATTGTTCATTTTCAAAAAAAAAGCCAGTATATCCATAAGCCTGAATTTTAGGCGTCGTCGCAAGAGCGTTCATCCTCTCAAAGAAGTGTGCTACCAGTTTCCCGATCGCTAATGGAAGGAAGACTTGGTTATCCAAAGTGTAGCATCGAACCAAAGACCACGTGTCCTGCAGAGCATCTCTAACCATGGCGCTACACGCACCCTTATCTGGTTCTATCCATCGTTTTGCTCCACAATAGATATATATATACATGGATCAAATGGCTACTAAAGTTAATTTTTTTCGAGATAAGTAAATGAATAATACTCACCGAATGCTTGCGATATGACGAGGAATATGTTGAAAAGTTTAGCACTCTGATCGTCGCGTAAGAGCGTGAAATGTGGATCAAACAGTAACGACATCGTGGCGGGAGCGGTTACCCTGAAAACGATTCATATATGGGTGAGAGGAAAAACTAATCCCATACAGAACTAGGTTCTTCCATAAAACGTGTGACGTAGAAAACAACGCAGAAGACAAAACATACAAGAGAGACGGATGCGAAACATAACAGAAGTGCACATGATAAGGATATAATGCACCACAATGAAGGATAAGCGATGAATTTAACCATATAATCAGTATTAGATACCGTAGCGAAATTTGTTGTGAAGCTCTTTGCTATCAAAGAACCAGCCAGTTACCGAGTTCACATAACCGATGCAATGTCGTACGCACAACTGGTAGTGAGCATGAAAACCTAACAACCTAGACAATATGGATTTTTCTTACGGGAACATTCCCATAAAATTTTGAAAGATCATTCCCTCGACAAGTGATTGCTGATGGTAGCGTTAGCGTACAACAAAGCCGTCGGTTGGTACAGTGGATAACACATGAGCGCCCGGAAAGGGTAGGCGCGTCTTCGAAGCACAACTGAGGCTCCGAGTTTTGCCCATATCTCAGCATCCTTATAGTTTTTCTTATAATACCGTGTCTGAAAGAAGGATAGGCAGTAAGTAAAAGATAAAACATTCTGAGAGATCGTTTAAAAACAATGTAATAATGTAAAATTACAAAGGTGTAATTAAACGTTTCAAAACCTACACAAGACTAACCGCGCTGAGCCTGATGAAGAATCTCTCATATGATGACAGAGGCGGGAAAACCTTACTCAAGATTTCGTAACTTTTAGAAAGATGACAGGTAATGAAAACAGCTAACATCTCTATTACACAACAAGATGGCTAGCAACGAAGAAAAAACGCAGTACTAGTCGTCCTGAGCACATTCCCAGCCACACTGCTGAATACGCAGAGAGGCCCTATTATATCGTCACATTACGCGGGACCCAACATAAAGTGTGCAGCTTTCACTTTATCCTCTACAGGGTAAGAGGAAATTCCCGTTTTTATTTAGCACTCAATATAATATTTAATTTTAATTTAATCAAAATGGGCTACAATGACAGACAATGGTGGCTATATGCTCTGCACTTGATTTACCTAACGACTTAGTACTAAAAAACGCACTAGAAATAGCAACATATGCCCTTTCGAACGGTTATTAGATATTCCATCGAAAAGTAATTCCACACCTCTACGGTCGAAAGGCAAAACCACAAATAGAAGAGTTTTTGAACACCGTAACGGGAGAAAAATTGGAACAGACGGGACAGGTAGAATAGATGCTTCTCAAATTTTCACACCAAACGAGGTTTTCTAAGGTCGACACAAACAATGCCCACTCAAAAGAAACTCAGGGAACAGAAGGATATTCTACAAAATGATAAACGGAAAAGAATTCAGCACCCTCTTGTATTATTAAGCTAACACGAGGTTGTTAAAGAGATATATTTGGCTAGCGTTCGGATGATTGATTCGAGTCGATGGCCCACAGTTGCTCATCTTCTTGGTGTGGCATCCTCGTTGTCGTATCGAGGCGGATCTTCTTCGGGTGAATAACGCTCGAATGAGGCAAGCTCACCCGATAGTGTTCTTTTCGACAGGATGATCGTTGTTAATACGACTATCCATTGACCGTTCAGAGTTCAGCGTCGAAAAATCCCTTAAGAATATCCCACGTATTCGACTCAACTGTGCATCCGAGAGCAGCGAGTGTAGCGCAGTGGTTAGAGATGCCTTGTAATACACATGGGTTTGACCCCGCGTCCCTGACTAACCAAGTTCCTCCCTCGGGGGTCAGACCTGTCTGGGAGGACAACAGCACTGACTCAATACATCGGTACGCCACCGCGAGTCATTGTAAATGGAAGATGATATGCATTCAATCACCTCTAACGATGCTTAATGAAATCAAATGCATGGCGCATCTTTCAAGGATTGATCAACGCCGAAAACTTTGTCTTTTATTTTATCCCTACCATCGAGATGAATAGACCTAGATCAATACTGATCGAATGCATATTTAACCTATAAAATGAATTTCGGGAGGCTGCCGAAAATAAGTCAATGGTCTTATTATCCCAAACAGGTTTGGTACTAATCTGCCAACCTCGGACCGTGAGAGGGCTTAGTTCTCCTGCGGCACGGGATCGAAACAATGACACAATGTGCATTGCAGGGTATCTTTAACCACTGCCCTACATACGCCCCCAAACATTCCACATCATACAAATTTATAAGGAATATTTCACTGAGTCGAAAACTCCGCAAAACATGGATTAGCTCAATAAAAACGAATTATTCTTAACCTATTTATTGCCGGCATGTTTATCCGCTTCTTTTAAACAAAGCAGAACTAGAGTGAAAGCAGAAGCAACAAAACTATAGAGCAAGCTTATTCGACTATCACTAATACATTCATCAATGTTCAGTCGTTCGTACCGACATTCCAGCGGAAGTGGTACAGCTCACATTTACTTCTTACGGTTTTTCCAAATCATAAGTATTTTTTACAAATCGAAAATAATTGAAGACTTGATGTTCTCCTTTGTCTTCAGCTTTCCTGCTACATTTGCTGATTAGAGACTCTTATATTTCACTAGGAATCGCTAGAATACTAGATGAACACATCTCGCGAATACATCCTAAGCCAACATCCTAAGCAATCATTGTAGGTTATAGTCTTCCAACCTCTTGTCAACTGACCTGGGAAGCAACCGGTAGTACATTTACAGCTTTAATTTAGTTTAAATTTCGAGTGTAGATTTTCTTGGATATTCATTTGCGTACTTAGATGGCTGGTCTTAACGATACGTGTGGATCCCGGTATACCCTTCACTTGGTTCGTTACCCCTCCCAATAGGAGTGGTGTTTCCAGCCAGATTACATCTATAAATCTGCGATCCACTGACCGTTCGCAGTTTGCGTGCTGTTTGTAGTAAGTCATAAACACCTCCGCACATCTTGCAAATGATCGCCGAGGATTTTCTCAACAGGTGCACTTCAGTGCTTATTTCGTCAATGACACAGAGAAAAGTTGAGTCAAAAACGTAAGCGCGGAGTCATACGTCCACAAGCAGTTGATCGTTGGTTTCCCCTAAATGTTCAAAGCGGCTTATGCTTCTCTGTCGCTGTGAGTCCTTTTGCGGAGATTTTGTAGTCATTCATTACCAGCCATCTTAGATATGCTGCAGCAAATTTTTTTCATTTTAGCTGAAAATCATTTTCTAGCCAGTTTTAAAATCCTTTGTGGGCAGCACGTAGTTCATGTTTAGTGTCAGGAACACATCCTCTCTTACTTTTAAAGATGCCGCTAATTTAAAATGAGATTTGTCGAAAAGCGCCTCTACATATTTCGACGTATTCTCTTTTTTCAAAGAATGAACCCCTATGGAAGACGTGTACTACGGGCCGCTCTGCAAGAGAATTTTTCCATATTGGTCTTCTATTCAAAACTCCCTAACCATTCTGTTTTCACTTTCACTAGCTTTTTGTAGAAAACAATGGGAAACAGTTATAGATCCTGCTTTCGGAAACCACTTTCTCCTATAATTCAAAGAATGCGGATAATTTCCTCCCACACATTGCTGGGTAAACACTAACGACGGTGATAATCTTTTAACGCAGAGGTTCAAAATAAAGCGAGATGAAATGGAATCGTACTGGTCCCTTTGATGGCGAGATTGTAGATTATAGATAGAAGGAGCGCATAACAAAACTTACGCCACTAACGCACGAAATCTCTTCACCACCGATAATTGAGGATGCTATTTTGTGCTTTCTACTTCTGTTCAGCAAACATGAGGTGCTACTTTATTTCTTTATTAACGTACAAGCTGACGTTTCGGTGGATTTCGCCTTCCTCAGAGGCTGGAAAGGTTAGGTTGACTACAATCTACACGGCCAAACACCTCCATAACCAAACAGAGAAAATGCTGAACCAAAATTTCAATCACACTGAACACAGAGTCTTTGCACACTCACCGCTTTCTACGAGTTTTCCACTAAATCGATCCTCGCGCAAGAATCGAGAACACAGCGCGCAAAACTCTAGAGGCATTCTGGAATAATTCCAAGAATCCGAAAATGAACCGCAGGGAGGAATGCGTCATTAACGCGCGTGATGTTGGGCAGTATATAAGCTTGTTATTTTGATGAGATGGGCGCAATATGACTCCGTGTAAACTCTGTGCGTTTGGTCTCCACGTGACATATTTAGTGGAAGACTCATAGAAAGCGGTGAGTGTGCAAAGACTCTGCGTTCAATGTGATTGAAATTTTGGTTCAGCATTTTCTGTTTGGTTACGGAGGTGTGTGGCCGTTTAGATTGTAGTCAACCTGACCTTTCCAGGCTCTGAAGAAGGCGAAATCCACCGAAACGTCAGCTTGTACGTAAATAAAGAAATAGAGTAACACCTCGTGTTTGCTGAACAGAAGTAGAAAGAATTATTCAATCAATGCGGACGTTAATAGAAAGTCGGACTTGGGAGTTGCTACCTCGTTCGTCTATGTCGATCTTCCTGTTCTTTGTTCCCTGTAGAGATGACGCGATATCTGACGCGACTTGTGGCCAGAGGAAGACAAGAAGGCCGGCGTCAAAAGAGGCTATTCATACGTTGTAGGTGCAAAGCAGGAAACACCCTTCATGGCCGGTCGAGCATGTGTTGTTCTGATCCAGTTCTAATGACAATCTATGCAACCTGAGATTTAAATCACCCCTCACCGGTTATCTCGTCCTGGTTTCGGAATACTAGAAATAGTGCATTGGTCGCCTAGAAATTCTTTCTTGTGATACCGAGGAATCCACGAGGCAGCACTTCCAGAACGTCATCATAAGCAGCCGGTGACTCATAAGGAACAGGTGGAGGTTTCACACTTTGCCACCAGGTTTCTGTCAAAGAAAAGAATATTCTTGGCATATGTTTATTCGCATATAGGCCTCCATATTGAAGTCCCGGACTGCCCAGCGCAGCTGGACCTGCTGTGAGAATGAGCTCTGCTTCATAATGCAGTTTAACATGCAAGAACATGCCGCGGAGGTAGTAAACTATTGAGAAGCGTATTACATATACAACAACAAATGAGAATAATCCATAATGGAGATGAGGGAAGTACCTAAATGAAGGACTGGCGAATAAAGCAACGAGAAGTATTAGTAGGATTTTTGTGATGAGAAACGGAAGGCAATGAATGGCGTGAGCATTGCTGTGTTGCCCGCCCCAGTTAAGTCGATAGACTGGTAACAAGGCGCTGCAGACATGCGCCTGGCGCTCGTAATTAGAAATTTTTCCGCCCCAAGCGACAAGTCCTCATATCATCCACATTCATTATAGCGTAATACTATTACGTTTTCAGTGTGAGAAAACGAAAGACAGCCTTTCCAAATGCGATCGATTTCAATTAAAACCATCCAAAAACTGACCAACCCACAATGATAGGACTTGGCCCTAAGGTCGCAGATGGGTCTGTTCGACGAAACGTAATTCAAGTGCCCAGAAAGAGTAAATAGTAATAGTAATGGAAACATATTAAGTAATAGTAGTAGTAAGTAAACAGTCATAGTAATAGCAACAAGTCATAATGTCGGTAAGCAATGTAGAAATGTTAATAAATGAATTAGATAGAAAAGTGGTCGACGTCCGTCCTGTACAAAAGGATACTTCCGAGTGAGGTTCTTCATTCGAGCGACCCCACTGGATTCGGTTTGATGCTACTACGATGTCCCAAATCGCGACAACAACCGGTTTTGGACCATCCATTCGAACCCACCCACTTTTGAAGGAGGAGAAGACATCGGAACGTTAGCCGTAAAAACTAATTTTTTTTACAACAACCGCAATAAAATTTTTCATAACAACCTCGTGTTGAGTTAACAATTGAAAAAATACTAATCTTCCTAAGGTTAATAGGAAAGTTGGTTTCTAGAATAAAGTGTTTAATAACCCCGTTCCACTTAATCATGGTAATAAGAAAGTGACATAAGTCTACGAAACAAAAACATTACAACTGGCCAAATATATCCGTTTAAAGTAATTTCATCGTGGAGATCGTTCAATGGTGAAGACAAAAACTTAACATATGTATAACGTTAAGAACAGCGGACTATTCTGGACAAATGGATAACAAACTCGATAAAATACGGTAGATTCCTCCGTTCGCTCCGTTCGCATAATGCACAAATAAGGGTTTTCCTTGCTGCTTGAAACAAAAACGGGGAGGAAAAGTCCCCCGCTCAGAACAGTTACTTAAAGACATTTAAGTTTTCCATGAATGAAACATAAATTGTGGACCCGCTGCTAGTATTGCATCTAACAGTACAAGAAAACCTTTCCAACTCCATTTTTGGAAGACCACCTATCGTGAGGTTTTAATCATGACTCGAAGCATCGCTTTAAGATTTATGGAAAATAAATGTATCAAATTTGCGATCGCCCAGATATTTCAATGGCGACCGATAATTTCTTGACAGCTAAAATACTTGCGGACTTTAGCACTTGGGAAACTTATAGGTAAGACATATCCCTACTGTTCAAACTAATTTCTCCAAAATGTTTTTCTTCTGTCAGTCACAACGTCCTTATTCAGTTAGTCGACTAATCGCAGGATTCACTTCTGTTTGGTAGACTCCTTGTCACAAAGCAGTACCTTCTCTTTGATTCACATGGCCCTGCGGTTGCATATGATTAAAGAAATATTTGCAACGTTTCCACACGGCTATTACGAAGCTCCAGAGAAAAGAAAGCTCATCGAAGATCCAATATGTCAAAGAGCAGGGAAACGAATAGATTCTAACGTTGCAGACGAACCCACACTCAAACACGACAACCTTTACGAACGACGGTTTCACGAAAACGAAACGAATACTACAATTGCTTCGGCAAACACGCTAATTAGGGACAGACCATCCGAGTAGCAATTTTTTTCTTTGCATGACCACTCATCAGACCTACTGCGCGGATACCAGCGCTTCTTGCATCCGATTCGTTTTCCTCGCATTCGTCGTCCACAGTGGTCCTCTAACGTTTTGCGTTGTTTTGGCTGCTCGCTAAGGATGCCGTTTTCTTTACGAATGCCGTCGAACTAGGATCAAGTCAATTCTCATTGAAATCTTGGAGATAGCCGAGCTAAGACTTTCCCACCTCGAATGGAAGATGGCGTTGGGAGACGTCGAAGCAGCACCTTCTGGTCAACTATACCACTAACCACTGCGGCACTACGCTACTTCCCCTCTCTGTAAGTAGCAAAGTACCAAAGTAGATTAAAATGTACAAAAAACCAATACAGTCGCTAGAACGCCCAACTTTTGGCCGTGCAGAACGCAGAGTTAATTCTATATGCTTAGAGCAGGGACACTTTAGGAGTAACCGTAAACTTTCTGACATTCTATCTGTACAGTAAACAAAGAATCCCCAATAAACCTATAAAGACGAGCAAATTCGTCCGAATAACAGCTTTTTGTGAGCTTGTGAGCTTTTTGTATATGTGTGATTCATATGTTTTTGTAAGCTCTTTCTTAGTGAGTAGCAGTACGTAGGTAACAGCTTGCCTTGTACAACGCCTAGTATAACATCTGTGGTAGAGAAATTATCCATTCAATACGAAAGGTTACACAGAAAATTTTGATGCGGCAAAAAATGGCATTTTTTATTAAAAAAAAAGGGGTTATATATGAGTCATATCGTCACGAATGAGCGCAGGTGCAGCGTCTGCCCGCAATAACATGGTTTTATGAACGGTCATGTTGTCTTGCCGATCAAAAAAAAAAAAACCTCTTCAAACACTTCAACGTCAGAGATGTTAGCGTCGATGGGAAAAAAACGGGAGAAAAAGGACACTATTTGTGAGCACCGGAGCGCCAGAAGGTCATTGTGGTAGAATCGACAAACCTGCGTTTTCCTGGCAAAAAAACTGTAACTAGTAATAAAAACCTCGTGTAGAATAAGATCTATCGTTTCATCTTTCATTGTGACACATCACATATACGTGCCTATATTGTTTCACATCCATTTCTCGTGCACTTTTTTCTACTGCATTCTTTTCCCTTCACACTACCACTGGAAGGACTTTGTTCTCTGCAGGATCTAATAGTTCTAAACTCAATTATTTGTGAAACTTTTCTTAGATAATCATTTCTGTCACAATGGCGTCAGGGTTAAACCCATATTTCACGCCTTTTCCACGTGAAAACCAAAGTGCTAAATTCTTTAATATATCTCTTGTTGTTTCAAAAGCACCTGGTGAGCACTGGTTAATCAGGGATATGTTAAACAAACTTTCATGACCTCGTATCCCATCCATATTAGGAGGAAAGACAAATCTTCGATTGCACCAAACGATAAGAGCGCACAGATTCCCTACGACACGCACGTGGACGTTGGTTCGATCGTGGTGGTTAAACGTGGTTAAACCAACCTCCAATATCTCCGAGGTAGGAAAAGTAGTATTAGAATTACCTGGAGGATAAAAAAACACTGACTTGATACATTAGCATATACCAGTATTTAATACATAAGAAAATAGAGATTCAACCACTCTAGTGTGGATAATAGCTACTAGACGACAAAAGCTTCATAAGAGTAATACAATGCGAAAATAACGGCCACTTTTAACTTGCAATCAAAATGTCTCAGCTCTTACTGAATTTTAATAATTAACGCATAACGCCCTGTAGTTACACTATAGTGTCCATAGCAAATTGGGTCACACGACCCTATGGACATTGTAGTATCCATAATGAGTTTAGTGGATTCCACAGCCTCACTTTTTTAACCGTCATATGTAAACTCGACCGGTATGACATGACGATGAACGGTCAGCCCCCGGAAAGGGTAATAGCGCGTCCGTTCTCCATCGCAGACACCTGCGGTCCGCAGTTTTTTTAAGGGCGCGTATGGTTCAGTGGTCGGAGCCCTGCGATAAGCACATCGGATCGATATCCGCGCCCATGGCTCATCAAGCCTTCCATCCCTCCGAGGTTGGCAAATTGGTACCAGACTTGTCTGGGAGGATAGCAGCACTGGCTCGATACATCGGAAGACCACCGCGAGTCATTGTAAAGATCAGATATGCATTGAAACACTTCCAAATGATGCTCATTGAAGTCAAATGCATGACGCATCCATCAGGAATTGATCAATGCCGAGAGTTTTATCCTTTTACTTTTAATATGTAGACTCTCTTCTATAAACTTTTTTCGTGTTTTCAACCCCTAAAGCACTTTAGATATTGGAAAATTATTCCTTATTTCTAAACAAAAAAAACTCGCAGCAGAAGGAAAATTGCTCGCAATCGGTTGACGCAACCACGAAATACGATATCGGTGCGTTATGAGTTAAAACAAATCGGATCTACGATTCTTACCTACAGGAAAAAAGCTCTCATGTATTACCATGATGGAATTTTGATTCTCTAAAGTGCATGGCATATAGTTCTTTCATGTTCTCCAATGTATCGGTAATGTTTGCAGCTGCCGCTCTTCTTTCAGGAATTTTAAGAACTTGGAAATCTTGGAAATTAAAAAATTCCTTACTAAATTTCTAAAGGTTTTAAACCAAAACATATTAAGACTCGAAAGTATGGTGTATAAAAATTCCACATGCGTTTAATGCGATAGAGCAAAATCTCTCCTAGAAAGTCCAAAACTCCTGAAGTTCTTTAGTGATCGAGAAAACATCGTCAGTTTTCGGGAAACCAGCTTCGTTACGAATGGGTTAACGGGATCTACTAGCCTGCCCATCGTTGCTGAACGCTTTGTCCTTATGCCAGCACTTTCATGGGTGTAGGAGGTCCCCATATTCACAGCTTCTTTCGAAAAAACCATAACGAACAAGCGACTTTGACTTTTTATCTATTCGTAACCCAGATCCTCCCAACGGTTTACCGCATCATCGTGGATAGGAGGTGTTCTTGGGTGTCCGAGTGCCATGTACAGCGTACAGCGTAGGATTCATCCCCCGGTAGGGTCTCCCAAGCTGAGAAGAAGTCCAGCGTTTCGACCAGAAAGCCCACCTAAGAGTAAACCAATGCCAGG